CTTTGAGACACTAATTTTTTAACACCCTAGTGCCATTCATCACGGTTTAGGTTCGCCATGGCACCTTTAGCCTGCCCCGATGGGCCAGCTCTTGTTGGTTGCCGGCAACAGCGAGGTGTTTCCCAGGGGGCACTATGTGGAAGTGAGGGTTGGTCTTGCGCCTCCCTGGATAGATAGATAGATTATATAGGAGCCAGACTCTTTACCACCTGTGCACCGCGACCAGTATTGGTTTATTGTGCATCTCCATTTTTTATCTAGAGATCTTCGTTAAGTTTGATGATTTTTACCACACCCCGAAGCTTTTTCAAGGGCTCCCATGTGTATCCAGGCCTTTGCACCAACATAGGACATGTTCCGCTGTTTATCCTTAAATATCTGCCCAGGTTTGTTTCTGCCATTCCTAGCCTCGGAGATGCTAACGTTAAAATCAGGGGTAGGGAGGGCCCTGACCTAGTAATTCAGAAAGTAAATGAACGATGAATCATATTTAACATATTTTAGCATTTAATTCCAAGTAGGTTTTTATTATGACCATTTGAACTAGGAGTTTAAATAAGTAACTAAGTTCTTCTGAAATCGAACTGGCCTATGAATTGTGGCTCTGGCCTGTACCTGGATAAAGATGTGTAGTGGCGGTAGACTCAGAAGGACTTCCAGGACAGCCGTGGGGGTTGTTCTCATTGCCCCAGTGATGCTCAGATACGCTATTGAGGATCTGAACCACCCTTAGATGAAATGTCTTAGTCCACCAAACCACTGATCGGTAGGCTATCATGCTAACAACCACAGAGACATCTTTGGATTCAGACCCCAGCTTTTCCAACAAAGGCGCTTGCATCTGACAATAGCAATCTTTGCTCTTTGTGTGAATTTGACCAATTTTGTTACGGTTTGTTCTTGATTCAACATTCTGAATCCTTTTTATTAGGATCAGAGCCCCAGAGGTCTTGATCGAATCTGAATACAACGATCAGGCACCTTTTTATAATAAAAATTTAATTTGATTTTCAAAACAATTTATCTATTATACAAGAAAATAACAGTTAAAATAAATTTAATTTTCTTTTTTAAATTTTAAAACGAACAAAACATTTTGAATTTAAATAAACAGAAATTTCATGCAAACCTTTGCCAGACCAATTGATATAAGGGTGGATGGGTACCCACTAAGTCAATCTGCTGTGAACCGAAGCACTCTATTTTAGGGAATCCAACACTTCTTTACATTCTTTTCAGGATTGCACACTTCTTTCTGTTTCTCATCTACACGGAATGGACTCGTTCATTTCTAGACTCGACTGTCTTTACCCTAATTGTCGCGATCCTCTTTTATTTTCACTCTAAGCCTAATCATTAAATCTAAATCACAACATTGTCACTATGAAATACATTGAAATGTGACAATATTTTGTTGATTCCATGAAAGTCTCTGGTAGAAAATAACTCCCAGCTATTTCGCCTCTTTAGAGAAAGTAATTGCAACTCCATTTAGCATAATGATGTGTGCTATATATCCTAGTGCCCTTTCCTTGGTAAAGGGAACCTCGATGGTTTTGTTAGAGTTTATAGAAAGCCCTTCCGTTTTACACCATCTGTTTGTTATGTAATGACTTCGGCAAAGCGTCCATTCATGACTATCATCAGATCATCTGCATATCTTAGGCAACTAAAGCCTTCGTCAGATAGCCTACCGCCTAAAGAAGATGGGGTAAGCAGAGACAGAAACATGCCAACTCTGTCAGGGTTAACCAGAGGCATCGGCACATAACCGTTGTGAATATGAGGCCTGCCTATGGAATAGCCCCTTCGACAAGGCAATTCTAACACCAAGAAAAGAATACAAAAAGGCATCCAGGAAAGTGCTTGTATGAGGGATAAAGCACATTGTGCCTTGTGCCTGTGGTGATTACCTGCAGTTAGTACCCACTAGGTGACACTACCAGTTCAGGAATGACCTTGCCCTCCATTCTGCAGCTAATCAGTGTGGAGGAATTCCATACATAAGCAGGCCCACTGCCCAGCTGACTTCAGAGACTTGTCTCCACGATGAGGTCTCAACATGATGAACTCATCAGCCTTGCTCCGCCTCCTCCACAACTGAATTGGCTGCCGAGTCCCTTCTTCCGCTTCTGAGTATACAGACTCGCTATATCTCAACACGGTCACAGACCTCGACTAACGGTTTTCATGGTCCCTGCCTCAACAACACAGGCTAGACACACATAACACCAGCCCTTGTCAAGGCCACCAAAACTCCCAGTCCCTAAACACACTTTCCATTGTATGGTCTTAATCATAGGGGTTCCATAATAGGCCTATATAAATTGCAGAGGAGTAACATAAGTCCTTGCTTGCCCAACCCATCTCTATTATATACAACTTCCTCTGTAAAAACTGGAGAGCAAGACTAAAGACTGAGGACGATAGGAATCAAAGTGACAGGCCTTAAAGGAGGGTAGGGATGGCGGGTGCTGGATAAAGTGAGGAAGGGAATTTCATTAGTTTGAGGTATGGGTGAGGAAAGAACAACTGAACACAGTAGTTCAGTATTTACAGGGATAGAGACCAGATGTGAGAGCAAGTGCAATGGGAGTACAATAAGGATCAGAAGGTCATGGAAATAGGACAATATCAACTGGTAGAGGAAGAAGCCAAGGAAATATTGCATGCAGTACGAAGCTTATCTGCAAGTTTCCCAGTTAGGCTCTGGTGGGGGTGACTATTTAGAACCCTAACTATAAACCTATTAGAACCCCTAACATTCATGGGAATTCTTGTGAACTCAAACAAAAAATTAAAATAAACAGAGGTTGTCCCAAAGGAGGTTTCATAAGGGACAGAGCAGCCAACTCCTGAAGAGACTGAATCGCCCTCACAGTTGAAGATTCTCTTGGACCTGATGGCAAACTCCAAAAGGTCAAAGAAGCTTCAGCAGAAAATGGCCTAATAAGGTTCCCGAGACCTAGAAGAAAATTCTATTTAGTGCTTGTCTTGCTTAGAAGACAAGGGCATAGTAAACACGAAGCATTTCAGAACTGCATATGCTCAGTAAAAGCCCACCTGCAAAGAGGGGTCGAGGAATGGAATGACCCCAGAGCAGGTGGAAAAAGAGAGCCAAGTTGAGGGAATTCTCTGGCTAAGGGCCCAGAGGAAGACCTTCACAGAGGCCTTCAAACAAAGAAGACAGTGTATCGTCCCTCTATACCAGGGCTTCACAAACCTTTTAGCCAGTGGACCCCTTTCACAGAACAAAATCCAGGGCTGACCCCTCACAATCAAGCATTTAAAATTAGCTACTTATAGTACATATAGTAAATTAAAGTTTTATAAATTAGCCAGTCCATCTTTCTGCTACTATATGCAAATGAACTAACCCTCCTGACAAATTCCTATGTGAATATGAATCTGAAACTTTGTACTTTGGAAGTCTATTGTGAGAGTAATAATGGTCTCACAGTGAATATATCAAAAACCTATATAATCAAATTTCACAGCAGAATATATGGAACCGAAAATAAGTTTCCCTATGGGGAAATGAAACCAGAATGATGAATACATTTAATTACCTTTGATTATGAAGAGATTCCCCTAGATTGCATTTTGTTTTGATGAGTATATTGTTGACAGTACCACATGATATTTTAAAATGGGATATTGCATCCCATGTTGTGTCAGGAACAAAGAAAAAGTGAATTCCACACCTAGGTAAAGTCTTCATAAAACTTAATTACCTAGGTGTGGAATTCACAACATTATCTTTGTTCCTGACACAGCATGGAACGCAATATCCCATTTTAAAATACCACGTGGTACCGTCATCAATATACTCATCAAAACAAAATGCAATCTATGGGAATCTCTTCTTGAACTTTTACATGTAATTGCTCAATCCTCTTTACTATATTGACATATTGTGCTCCGGTATGTGTGGTCTAAGATATCTTGTTTACTGGATCAAGCCCAAATAAACTTCTTTAAAAATTTGTTTCAGCTGCTAAAAATCATCCCGGACTGTATGATTTCTATTGCAACTAGTGTAAATCATATTTCATCGGTTGTCCTTTAAACATACCATGAGCATGGTAAGCTATGCTATGAGTCCAGAGAGACTTCCCTGAATTTGCTACAATAAACTTCTGGTACTTGATTCCTCACCATCAAACAGGCCCCAGTACAATTGGGTTACACAGATAACGAGCCTGTTTTCAAAAATAGCATGCATTACTTGTGGTACTGACTTGAGATGTAAATGAACTGACCCATAGCAGAGTTTATCTTACAAATGTGTACAAGAACTCCTTAAAAGAAAACGGCTGTTAAATTAAGAGAATCTAGTTATAGTAGTCAGAATCCTCATTGCACTAGTTCCTACCTATTGAACAGGGCTCCTTTTGAGAAATCATATGTATTTTTCCATACTTGTAGTAAATATTGCTTAAAATTTGTTATTTCCAAGCAGATGTACAAGACTGATTTTAATTTGCTTTGCTCCCTATGCCGTTTGGCCAAAAAGAAGGACCTATTTTATTCAATTACCCAATTTATGAACCTTTCGAATTACTTGGGTTTTGTTGTGAGCAGCAACTCCAACTTAGCAAGCCTTGGAGAAACATCTATTGAACTTGTACATACGACAATTTTGTAATTTAACTATTTTATTTGTTATTTAACCTTATTACAAAACATGTTCTTGCCCATTTTGTTGTTTACATTAGTAGATTTTTTGTTGGTTGTGTGTATAATAAGTTTCTGATAATTGTTCATATCCTGATAACATGTTACAGTTTTTGAACTTTTATTCATTTATATGAACAACTTGCCGAATATCGGGGCTCGATGTATAGATTCATTATCTTAAGTATGCATGTAATAAATAAAAAAATATTTAAGTTACTAATAATAGATGCAATTTGTGATTCGCATATTGAAAATTGATATTAATAATAAAAACATATAACATATTGGAAATAAAACATATGATCACAGCTAAAAATATTTCTTGTTGCTTAGATACAACATTAGACCTCACCCAAAATTTCACACCCACACACACACAATTTTAAAAGTTCTTTTATCAAAAATTGTATACAGTTATTTTACACTTTGAACAAATAGATAATAAATCAAAACAGATCATGAGTGTTGTGGCTAGTGTTAACTCATCCAAAAACCTTTTGGACGCCGGATCCTCAGTGCGTTCCACCGATTCAGACATAAATATGTGCAAACATTGCAAAAGTAGGCATGCGATTATTAAAAAATTAAAGAAATTATTTGCCGAGCTTGAATTGTGAGTATTAATTAATTTTTTTTTAACTTGTTTTAATTAATATTTGAATTTGAACTTTAGGAATAGCATGTTAGAATCAGACGATGAACCCTTAGACGAAGAGGAGGTAATACCATTGATCACATATCCAATCACCCCACAATTTGATGATTCGTACCGAAGAAAAAAAGAAAAACATGCACAAGTAAGATATTTTCTTTATAATGGCAGCAATTTTGTTTTAATAATATGAGTAATAAATAAAAATTTTAAATGATGAAAGTTTCATTAAGAAAGACACCCAATAAAAGGGCCAGATGAAAATGAATACAAAATATTGTCTGTCCTGCTTTTATACCACATATAAAAATGATGACTAAAAACAATTGAATTAATAAAATTACAAGTTATTTCAATATTAAATTACTATGCAATAAAATTAATAAATTTTAAGGATGGTCAAAATTACTTTAGATTATTTGAATAGTTATTTGAATTTATAAAACCAATATGCTTGAAATGTCTATAAACAGCAATTAAATCAAAAGTCAATCAAAGTTAGACAAAAGGGCTATCAACTACTCGGCCATTACACCCCAAAACACATTCAGTTTTTGAACTTGGACACACACTCTTTCTTAAAAACAGCTACAAATTTTTTTCAGAATTCTATACCCAAAAATTAAATTAAAATTAATTAAAATGCAGGGCTGCTGGATTTGAACCTGGTTCCTTTGGTACTTTTACCTTACAGTTGCAGCCACCAATGGTTTAGTCCTAACACATTTTAAAATTGGTGAAAGAATTTGGGGTTTTTTCTCACACACATTTCCATTTGTTGTTTTTTGTGTTAGCCATGTTTTCAGGCGCTAATTGATTAATAATTATATTTTTTAAAAATAACCCTTATGAATGATACTTGTAAATTTTGTAGAGATATCCCCCTTGGAAACTGCCACGATTTCCCAGCCAAGAATTGATTGGTGGCAAACTGTGTAATACGTGCGAGTGCAGAAAGAGGAATGGGTTGCAAGACTATTGCCAAAGAACGATGTGCAGAGGAAGTTTGCAGTGCTTGCAAAAACCAGACCCATTATGTATTCCCAGTGGAATGTGGAAAAAGTAAGTAGTAATTAATATAAACATATAAATATACATTTACACATTTAAACACATAAACGTGTAAATTTATGAACATTTACACAGACACAACAAAGTATATACAATTCTCTATGGGAGGAAACACTTCCGCTTCCCTTAGGAAATGGAACAGCGAACCCAACAATTGACCCGTCTGCCCGATAACTATCTTTATGTCAGGGGTCCTGCATACTTGCTCCTTGTAAGGGGCCAAATCACCCTTCAATCAGATGTGACACCCTGAGCAACCTTTCTCTACAAACAGGGCACCTGTCCAGGTTTTGGCCCAAAATTAGGTGTCCTTGTGTCAGTTGGGTATGGCCTATCCTCAATTGGGTTAGCACAATCCTTTCCTTTTGGTTCAGATTCTCAGAGGGCTATCGTTCAGTCAGCCCTTGATCCACAAGAGCTTCTCGGATGATCCAGCTCATCGACACTGCCAATGCTCTTTACTCACCACATTCTTTGCTGCTTGCACAGCATCACTGGGCCAAATCGTGGTAGTTCTGTTTGGAGGGCAAGATAGATAGACAGATGTATTAGTCAGGGTGTGTATTATACTGTACCCTTTAAGAACAAAGAAAAGTTATTTCAACGACGCAAACTGAGAAACTGCGCACCAAGACGGTCGTAGTAGCGTGTCCGAGTGGACAGGCTCACCGTCTTCTTCCCAACTCCACACCCCATAAAGAGTATCTTTTCATCCCGCTATCCGCTAACGCACTTTTTGGGGACTTAGAAAAATTTTCGTCAATTTTTGTCAAGCCATGTATATCTTCGTCAAGCCATGTATACCCTCGTGGGACTGAGAAAATTTTCAACTCTTCGTCCAGATACGAGTCTGACGAGCCAGTGAGACTAGTAGAACATCCCTCGGCCTCCCCTGGGCCAGAGAACGTCGTCTATATCTCGCTCTAAGAGTAACACAGGCCAGTAGGAGGTGCTTGTCCCTCCCGTCGACTAGATACGATACAGAGGGACACAATAAGAAGGCCGGCCGTACTCCCGCCGATGACCCGAACGCTGTTCTTAAGAATCGTGCCCGCTAGAGGGTTCCCGCATTGGCAAAGAAATCCATCACATAGCTGAGGGTAAGCTACCTCTCTCCAGAATTCGGGTGGCAACACTCTCACCTTGCAGCAGAGGCTGGCCAATGGGCTGGTCCTAAATGAACCTGATAAAGCTCGAAGACCCTGATAGTAGAGCCTATTGAGTCGCAAGAAACACATTTTCCAGCCTGAGAAATTTGACATACAACCATAAAACAGCCTCAAGCAGAACAATGCTTTGAATATTTTCAGTGGTTGAATCTCTTCTACGGTTATGTTGTACATCCCAAAACACTTTGGCACTCCCTGTCCACTTGAAGTGATCAATGTACCTGATCAAACCATGATTCTTTCTACATTGGCCCTTTACAGCTTCGATGTGCGATTGCCACCTTAACTTTTCATCAAATATGAGGCCAAGGAACCGCACCCTCTCCACATACAATTGAGGTGGGCTATGAGCTTTTCTCAGTCTGCAAAAATGGATGCACACATCTTTGACGAGGAAAAGATAAATTTGGCTTCCCTGGCTTTTGCAGCAACGTTGTCAACAGCATCAACTGCCAACCTTTGTCAGAATCTTCCCAGAATAGTAGAAACATAGAGCATTTTTCGTACCTGCGGGAAGGATCGAACATATAGTTCCAGCATCATGGCAGTACCATTCTTGGGGGAGGGAATATCCCTCTCTTTCTCTTGAAGGGAGCGAGCTTCCAATTATCCTCTATAGTGGTATCATCCATTCCCTTTCCAGTGTTCCACAGACCAGTGGTGGTACCAACCATTTGCACTGCCGTGGTAGGGCTTTCGATTCGCATTGCTAATGGTGGCCTTTGTCACAGGCTCGGTCAGATTTTGTTCTTCTGCATGATTCTGAATATTTGTAGCATTCTGTGTCATGAGGCCCAAGTGATCCCCTTCTGTGGCATTGCAGCAGTCACTTGATGATGATGCTCGCTAACCTTGCTGGCTGTCAGAGCTGGGGATCTCCCCCCTGCACCATAAGTTTAAATTCATATCTACTCTGTTCCATCATTTTTTTTATTTTTATTATTTTTTTCTTTTTTTAATCAGAGTGCCTTCCCTTAATTAACCTTGTAGACCTTTGGCCAGGTTGGAATATTTGGGATAGGGGAGAAGGAAAAGAGGGCAGGAGGGGTGAAAATAGTGTAAAAAAAAGAATAAGAAACAGAATGGAAAACATAAAAAAGGGAACAATTAAGGAAGCTGGTGTCACTCTTCCTCACCGGTACAAAGGTGAGGAAGAGGCTCCTTAAGTTGACTTTTATGATAGGTGAAGAAAGTGATATGATTATTATTACAGTGAAACTTAGTAATTTGTGAACATGTACCTATGAAACACATTTCCCATTATTGTGGTTGTGGGTAATTACAATTACAGAATGGTCAGGGACAATCAAAAATTGTTTAAATTATTTTATACTTAGTCAATTGCTTTTTTCCTTAGACCACTTCAAAAGAATTTTTGCAATTGTAACCCCTTGTTTCAGATGTGTTCAACCACAAGAGGCAAAACAAATACTTCGTTGGCTGAATAAAATAGAAGAAATAGGTGTCGATGAGGGAGACCAAGGTGTAGCATACCATCAGCAGGTACCATGTTGTAAATGTGGCCATACAGTGTGCAAATGCCGGAATAAGAAGACCAAGACAACAAATAATAAACAATGTATTAAAAAGGAAAAAAAAATTGCCAAACCTGCCAGTGTTGATGCCAAAAAACGCTGTAGCAAAGACATTAAATGGGACGTTGCTGAGAAACAGTGCAATGATTATGTACCACCGAAGGAAAGTCCAAATTCAGTAAAGCGCACTGTAGGTCAAAAAAAGGAGCAACCAATCAATTCACACAGAGGGAAACGTTAGTAACTCAATCAGATTAAAAGAAAATCCCCTGAACTGAGCAAAGACAAAATCCATAATGTGAATGTGAACATATAGACAAGAAAAAAAATTCACTGTAAATAAAGTTGAAGTTTCAAGTTGATTTTTTAGTTTTATTTTAATTTTTTAGCAAAACTCTTTTTTAATGTTCTCACTAATGTACAATAGCTTTTTTCTCATCAAAATAACCTTTTTTAACTCCAAATTAACCCTTTTTTAAACCTCAAATCAATCCTTTTAAAGTTCAAATTAACCCTTTCTTTTATTTTAATAACATTTATGAAGTATGAAATATAAGCAGCCAAGTGAAATAAATTCCTGAATATTTGCAAATGAAAAAAAAATAATGATAATAAAATAAAATAAAATAATTCGACTCTTAGAAGACTAATGAAAATTAATTACAAATAACATTAAAAGTTATGTATTATTATTATTATTATTTATATTTATAGAAGTAATCTGTACAATAGAAGTTGGCATTGGACTGAAAACACAACATAAAAATAATATAAAATAAACAATCAGTAAAAGCACAGTAACAGAAATGATAAATTTTCTAAATCATACATCATATAATAATGTGATTGCTTAAGATATCAGGTTTCTCATTTTAACTGGATTTTCTAATGCAGATAAGCAAAAATAGTCAATATTATTTATATGTTCCTGGTTGATTTTGTCCATAAGTGAAATCAAATCTGAAAAATCCGAAATCAAATGCTTTTAAATATTTTCTACAATCAGAAATGTAGAACTCACATCCAAAATGGAAGTGACTATCGCACCTAATTTTAGGTTTAAAGAAAATTGGCATAGTGCTTGGGGGTGGCTTAAAAAAATGTAATCTATATCTTAAGCCTCTTATAGCAATCAATTTTTTTTTTACACTAAATATCCTGAGTTGACAGAAGATACGTATTTTATTAATAAATTTTTTTTGAAGATAGGGATTCTCCTAGCCTGCTAATTTGTCTGAAAGTAGGGTTAAGCTTGAATTTAATGTTTTCTTAATGTTAACTGAAAGAGTGATTTTCAATTTTTTTAAAATTTGATCACCCATTTCATCCTTGAGTAGGTATCTTGTGCCTACTACACATCTTTTGCTCCAATTATTAAAAGATTGTTCCTAAGAGAAACTGACCAATTGAAAGGAACGGTTTTGCACTCAGACAATTCAACTAACTGGTAGTAGCAAGACTTCTCAAGGCTGCCATCAGGAAGTGAGAGTAGTTTGTTCCAAAACTTTAATGTCCTATTAAAAACGCGAGATGTTAAGTGAAAAGAATTTGTTTCTAAATGAATGTAATGTCCTGTGTTGAAAGGAACATGAAGGACATGCTTAAAATATTTTTGTTGCACTCTTTCAACATTTGAGCCTCGTACAAACAAAATGTACATTTACATAGCATCTTGTAACTAGGTACATATTATTTTTTAAAAATTAAAATTTTTTTCCGATTTAAACCACTCTTTTTTGTCACTCATGTTTATGCGACACTTATTGCAACAGCAAAAAAGTAGATGAATGGCCAATTTTTGCAACAAGTGTTGAACAAGGTTGAACTTGCAACTATCCGACCAGTATTTATATCTATTGATATAGAAGTGTCAACACAAATAGGTTGTGGTTGAAATATATATCTCTGACATAAATTCTTCACTGTTTACATTAGCCAAGATTTCTGTCTGACATAAATATCATGCAATAACTGTCAGATGTAAACATACCTTAATAACTAAACAATAAAACTGGAGCTGTCAAAGGATTGAACAGAGAGATTTTGGGAGCTCAAGAGTTAGATTTGAATGAGGCAAGGATTTGAATAATTTTGGATATTGCCAGATTTCTTATTTGCAAAATTGGTAGGTTGATTAAATTTTTCAGAGGTCAAGAGAGGGACCTTCAAGTAAACCGGTAATGCCACATTCTCATAGTTGAAACTTCTGAGTCTCCATATTTGTCCTAATTTTTGAAATGGCACAACTGTAGTTAAAACTATGTTTACCTGGAGGCCATTCGCCATGCAATATTCGCTTAGAAGCTGTAGTTTGAACTGTGAGTCATGCCAGGAATAAGAAAAAGAAATGGATCGAGGTCACGATAGCTGAAGTGGTAGAGCAGCGGTGTATCTAGCCGAAGATCGTGGGTTCAAATCCCGCTCGTGCCATTGACTTTTTTATCTCAACATAAAACCATAATAATTGTAAGATATTACTTGGTCAAGTGGACCACGAAACGAGTGAATGTAACCTGTAATAATGTTAATTTCTCCAGAGGTCCCATTCTAGCATCAATTTTCATCTTAGCTTTAGATTAAAGCTGTGAAAAAATTCTTACAAATTTTGGACTGATACCCATATCGAATAGCTTCACAAACAGTTGTGAGTCTGTGATAGAATCAAAGGCATTACTGAAGCCCACAAAGTTGGCAAAACAAGTGCTTTTATGTAGTCATAATTGAATATTAATAACAGAACTTAAAATAACAATTGCATCATTGCATACTCTTCCTTTGAGGAAACCCATTTGTTCTTCGGGGAGTATTGACCTCAACTCAGTTTATCAGCTGTATGTATAAAATTCCAGTAAACAATTTAGCTATGTTAAATAAGGCAATTTCTAACAGTTATATAACATTAAATACATTAATAAAGGTTTCTTCTATTTGGGTGCAATCGTAAGTCAAGGAGTCTTCGCATTTCACCCTAAAGTATACTGTTGAGAGAGTTTTTTATAAGCAGGAGAATAAGTCTGTCAAATCTTTGTCTCTTTCATGGTGCAATCATAATTAACCCTTTAGGTACTGATGAAGATACCAGTGAGCAAGGGTCAATTGAGTTGATCCTTCTCTGAAGAAATGTGTAGAGATTAGTGACCATTAATCTATAGTTATTCAGATATCGTGAGATGCGGTCGGGATTCTCTGAAGAATTATTAGGTCATTGATTGTCATTGCTGAAATTCTTTTTCCCGGGTCTCCTTGATATCCTAGGTTATGTCGCCATTGAGTGGTAGTTTCTTCCTCTTCATTGCATAGCCTACAAATTGTATCATCTTTGAATATACCCACAGTGGAGGTGTTTTCTCAGTTTAAAGGGACCGGTAAATACCCCTAACCCCCTTCCACCACCAAGTACCCTATCTAACTGTAGCAATATGCCAGTTTTGGTGAGGGTTCTCTTTTCGTTTTGTGTGGTTCCATTCTAAGGTGAAGGAGTCTGTTTGATCTTGTTATCTTAATTACTATTATTTGATCTTGCAGATCCTGTGGCCAGTTTGTCTGCTTGTCCATTACCATTCACTCCTTTGTACCCTGGCACCCAATATGTTGTCAGGTTATGGTATTCCCAAGTTTTGGATGCATTGCCATCTGTTTGGGAATGAACATTTGTCGTGCTAATGCTTTTAAAGTTGCTAGGCTCAGTTTAGCCAAACATCCCTCACAGAGTGACAATCTTTGCCATAAAGGTCCAGGAGAATAGAAAGGCAAATGGGCCAGACCCAGTCTACACAGCTGTTATTAAATTGTTGATAGATCAGGATGGTCAGGAAGTAAATTTTTTTGATTCAACACTTTAATGCCATATTCTACTTGGAAACTACCAGCTGGCTAGATGAAATCGACACTTATCCCTCTCCCAAAGAAACCCAGTTCATCCCACTATGATGAGTATCGTTATGCACTATGTACTAAAGATTTTTCTTTGTGTAATACAAATTAGAATTTATACAAAGTGTGAAATCTTGTTAGATGAATCGTAGTTCAGATTCAGAATGGTGCAGGCACATGTGATGCACGATGCTCTTTTCCCCTTAAATATTTTGTTGCAAAACAGTAGAGATATGAACATCCACAGTCCACACATACTCTTGTTTTATTGATTGCCGCAAAGCTTTCAATGCATGAAGCATCACAAACTAATAGAAATTTTTAAGAACCAATGGAATTTACAACAAAGAGCTTCAGCTAATTTCAGAACAGTATTGGAACCAGAAAGTTGAAGTTTGAGTCAAGCAAGCTACCTCAGAACAACCAACAACAAGGAAGAACCAGCTGCTTGGACCAGGAACCTTCGAGACCAGAAGGCAAATTAAGAAGAAGAAAGAATGCATAGTTTCTTCCTCTTCATTGCATAATCTACAAATTGGGGCATCTTTGAATATACGCGTGCTTTTTGGGTTTTTTTCAGACTGAAATATGCCCTATCACTCCCTTGAGTATCCTGTCTGTTCTTTTATTATAAGTTTACTGTGTCTGGCCCTTTTCTATATGTTATCATCATACTGTTCTCAATTAAAAAGCCCTGGGATGTGCTGGGATTCAAACTCAGAACCCTTAAGATAGCAAATACGAGCGAATGCCCTAGAGCTTATTATATTTTTTCTAGTTCTTTAGTTTGATCCTTCTTTTAAGAAGTCTAGCAATAAAACTTGTTGTTTTTCAAGACTCAACATGCCCGTATCTGCTGAACCATCTCTGCAAATTTCCTCCCCTTTTCAATCGGACGATCAAAATTCCATTTCCAGTAAAACTGCAATACAAAGGATCAAAGGCAGTACCAATAGCATTGGAAGGCATTAAAAGGATAGGGAATTTTTTTTAAAATTGAAAAAACTGTCTTTTTTATTACTCACTCCTAAATATCAAAGACACATATACTTGATCATTATCGATTTATATTATATAATTTAAAATGTTTTATATAATAAATAACTCATTTCCCTTTCATTGCAATGTAGGTTAGACCTTTTAAAGAATATTGACATACATTTCTACATTAGCAAAACAATCGGCAACACAGAGTTTTATATTTATTGATTCACATTATATAATTTATGATTTATTCTATAAGAAATTTGGGTGCAGGTAGGTGGTAGTTAAGCGGGGGTTTGAGAATTTTTGCAGTCTTTTCTGACTACACCAGTCAATTATTATTTATTGCAATAATTATTCAGATAAATTTTTTGTCAATTTGCTTATTTGATGATTTGATTTGTGAGTGACCCAGTCCATGTTTGGCAACTTCTTCAAATTTCATAAGTGATCAACTTTAATTCATTCCATTTGGCAATAGATGCCAGTTAATTAACTCCCTATACCCATAGAATGAAGAATGAAGTGTTAAGGTTTGATTTTTTCTCCTTTGCCTCTAATTAGAATGTGTTTAATATAATATGAAACAATTATGCATTTTGTTTTATTACTTATATCTTAGGTGTTAGTTAGGCTTATAACATATATCTTAGCTGTTAGATGTCAGCTTTAGATCGAGTGTGGCTCCAAGCATCATTCCATTCTTTAAAATCCTACTAAACCGATAGATATTTTTAAGACATCAGCCATGGCCTAGTATTAAAGGGTACCTCCAAGGTAGTATCTAGGACCTATTCTCTACACGGTATCTTGGATGATCCAGCTTCAGAAACCTGCAAACCCATGTCACACTGAGCAGAAGTTCAAGTCAATAAACGTACAAAAGTGTGAAGATGTCACTTTAACCCTTCAAAGATCAACCTCGGCTTCTATTTACTACAATATAGACCCTTTCCCAGCAGCTAATGCAGTCTGATACCTTGGCTATGTGTTGAATTGACATCCTTCTCCCGCAACCATTATGTTGAAGCGGATGTTCCACAAAGCATATTGTTTTCTATTCTGTATACCGCAGACTATCCCAATAAAGTACTCCTTAAATATGGATTCAGATACCACTATCAGCAAACCTAGATCCAGCAGTGGCTATCAGAAACCTCGTGGACAATCTCTACTTTATGGATGAACGGGGTACTTTGCACTCGCATTTTCTCTTCAATTATCCATGGAAAAACACTGAATGGTGGATATATAATCTAACCATGTAAGTTGTCCTAACACTAACCCAAACAGTGCCTAACCTAACCTTACCTAATGCTGCATAACTTAATAAAAAGGATGAAGGTGGGGGTGAGTATGTTGATTTACATTTTGTAAAAGATAGTTCTACTCACAGATTTGTTGTTTACACCCATCGGATTTCAATCATGGAAGCTGGTTGAAAGGAGTTACAATACAAGCATGAAATGTAACAGTGAACCTGCCGTTCCCCGCCAACATGATATTCCAGTGAAAAGCTGGTTTTTAATGTCGATCAATTTTGAACATGAAAAACGTGAATTACAACACAAATAAATATAACCCTAATAAATACTGTAAGAAAATAATTTTAAATTAGTGATTAATTTGTATGTTAAATATTACATTTTTTTAATTTCAAATTTCTCAAACCAATCTAGCTGCCAATCTAGCCACTCATTGTTGAAACAGTGTAACACTGTTGTATTTAAATTTAAATTGTTTTGTTTCATTTAGATGGTCCTTAAATTCAGAAAATTGTTCAATTTAGGCAAGTGTTCTTTAGCTCTCATTTTAATTTCTCTGCCGCTTTGTCCTATATATTTAATATCACAATCGTTACAATTAAATTTGTGAACCCCGCTTTTTGGCAAGTTATCAACCTTGTCTTTAAGTTTTGAGGGAATGTTTCTAATTGAACACCTACCTCTAAAAGCTCCTCTAAGACCTTCTCTTTTAATAATTTTACCTACTTTTTCTGATAGTTCACCTATGTATGGCAAGCAATGAAAACCTAATGTTTCTTTTTTGGTGGGGTGGCTGAGCCAAATTGTTGCTTCTTTTAAAGTTATTTTTTAAAAATCTTTTTAAAAGAAACATCAATAAATATTTCTTGATATCCATTGTTTTTGATACGGTTTTAATTGTATGTAACTCTTTTTTATATTTAGCTAGTGTTAATAATAGTTTCAGCATGCGGTTTATGAGCCGAATGAAACCAGCAGCTTTTGGGATTCATGTGTGAGAAGTATTCGCTGGTACCATGGTGTCTGCAGTTAAAGACCTACAAAAGAAAAGACATGCAAATTAATCACAAATTTAAAATTATTTTCTTACAGCGTTTATTAAGATAATATTTAGTTGTGTTGTATTTCCTTTTTTTCGCACGTTCAAAATTGAGAGCCAATAAAAACTAACTTCTCATTGGAACGTCGCGTTGGCTGGGAGCAGTGGGTTCATTCTTTTACAAAAAGTGAAAAAATTGCATAGTTGCATAGTTTAGTCTCTAACTATCCCTAACCTAACCTAATCCGTTACTCTAAGCAGCATGCTGACCATCAAAGCAACATCAAAACGCGACGACGAGCGCAAAATACGTATGTGGTGGCCAGGAATCGCCTCAGACATTGAAACGAAAATAAAATCCTGCCCTGTCTGCGCACAAAACTCATCAAACCAGAATGAACCATTGCTGCTTTAAAAGTTTCCTGACTACCCTTGGCAAGTTGCTTCATAGGATCTCTTCAAACTTGACGACAAATGGTACCTTGTATTACTGACCATTACTCAAGATTCTTTGAAGTCCACCAAGTTCGAAAATGAGAACGTCAGACATAATCAAAATCTTTGATTTGCAAGAAAATGGAATCCCACAACTCGTCTGCTCAGATAACGGACCACTATTTCACTGTATACAGACATCCGAATTTCAGATCTTTGAAGTCTGGGGATTTTCCACGTCCACAAGCAGTTCGCAATTCCATCAAGTGGAGGCCGCCATTAAAAAAGACAACTTGGCATTGGCTCTAGCATACGGAAATACCCTCAAATGTTGTACGGCAGAACTGAGAGCCAACCTTACATCCAATATCATGTGGGAGTTAAACCTCCAGAGAAGTTATCCCGGAATCTCTTATTTCGAGGTTTTTTTTTTACAAAATAGTGCAATGTGTCAGGTGGAGACTACCTATAATCTTGGAATGTATGTTTCCATAGTGCGCAAATTGTCCTTAGAGACGGAAAATTGTTAATATTACTAAAAAGCCTGCTGTGACACCTTAAAAAGAAACAATCTGGATAAATTGGTGAAACACAACCACATATTTTCATGTCAAATGGGCCGTTTTATCCATTTTTCAAAAACACAAACTCTATTTTAAAGGTCAAAACCTTATATTAAATTTTTTAATTAATTATACTTTGTATCGGTCTTGGAAGAGATGAAAATGTTAGTGTCACGAGCGGTATTCGAACCCACGACTTTCGGCTCGGTGGGTTCGAATCCCGCTCGTGGCACTAACTTTTTCATCTCAACCAAGACCTTAGAAAAAATTATAATTAATTAAAAAGTCAATTATGACTACTAAACATATATGGACTTACATTAAATCCTAATACTTCATAATATAATAAACGAATCAATTCTGGTTATTAATCAATCGATCAAGTGGAATTGGGGAGAGACAAGTTTTCGTTTTTTTTTCTTCCCTACAAGTATGGTAGATAACTACTAATTTTAAGTATTAGTACATAACTAAGTAGGTGTAATTAACTAATCTTGTTAAACCTAAAATAAAAGATAGATAAGAGAAATCTTATAAACGCTAGAACGATGCCATCATATGGTTTCTAACTATTAAAAAACATCATTTACTAAAATAGTATTATAGCATTATAAGAGTTATTAATTACAACACTATTCACATTCCTCACTTGCGAGGTCATTGGAGCTTTAGGTATATTGTCGGGAAGGGTTCAGAATGAAAGCTGTTCGGATGAGGGTGAAGGGATAGAGGCAAGTGTAACGACTTATTACAGTTTCAAAGCAGGATAGGGTCGGATACGGAATCGAGAGTTTAGGTCCGAAGGATTTTGGACTAAATATTTGAGGTTGGAACGCTTGGTTGTAGTAATCATGCGTCGATTAGGGGTTAGGATCTGTTGTCATGTAGTCTTTGCAGTCAATTGTAGGGGCTTCAAGTAATTCTTTTGTCTATTTCAGGTCCCACAAAACGGACGACATTGGTTGCTGGGAGAGGAACAGAGTTGTAGTAGATTGAAGGAGTCTGCAGTGTGTGTATGCCAGGTTAGGTTATACAAGGTTGGTGTTGTATATGGTAACTTTGGCACCCGAGTTGAGTTTAAAAATTGTGTCTTGGGTTAACATAAGATATAATATAACACACTGAGGTGATACCAACCGCCAACCCCGTGACTATTTCGTTGCACACCTCAGAGCCGTTTAGTTTTCAACCCAGTTGAAACCACCCCCAAGACCTTAGATAAAAAATATAATTAATTAAAAAATTTAATATAAGGTTTCGACGTTTAAAATAGTGTTTGAGTTTTTGAACAATGGATAAAACGGCCCATTTGATTTGAAAATATGCACTTGAGTTTCACCGACTTATCCAGATTGTCTGTTTTTAAGGAGTTAAAGCGGGCTTTTTAGGATTACATTAACTATTTTCCATCTGGAAGGATATTTTGCGCTCTTTGTAAACATACATTCCACGATTGTAGGTAGCCTCCTCTCGGCTGGGGCATCCCTTGACACATTGTACGATTTTCTAGAAAAACCCCTCGTGACAAGAGAGTCCGGGAGTATTCCTTTCAAGAAATTTCAAAAACTTTTTACCCAGGTATTCCCCCTTTCGCTCCGCTTTTTGTGGAGCTCCTTTTGTCATGGCTAGCTCGATCTGAAAGGCTCTACCTGAACGGGTATCACCCACCGTCTTTCCCCTCTTAGGTGCTACGAACAAAATCAGAGAAATATACAATTTTTTAATGCGAAACCACGGATGACGATTAACATAAAAATTAATTTTTTTGGCTAATTTAAATTTTTCATTTTGGTTTTAATACAATACTTAATCATGGAGAAATTCGTCTAGGACCATCTGAATAGAAATACTCTCAAATCTTAAGTGTAAAGGTTTAATAATTGATATACAATATTTCGAGCTTAAAATACTGAATTTAGCATATTTGTTTTCTTAAAAATGGACACGATCAGCACAATGTCGTTCATGGCGGTTTTGAGGAACAGGGAAAATGATTCTAGATGTTTGGAAGAAGAATAGAAGACAAAAAGGCAAAGGGTTGAAATGTTATGACATCAGTGAAGCACATCAAGCATATTCCTTAATCAGCTTTCCTAAGTTTTGATCGTCATGGACAATTTAAATATTTTTTTAAAAATAAAAACCTTACAAAGCTGGAAGTATAAGGAGAGGATAGGTTCGCTAACTGTTTCGGAAGAAATCGTCCAACCATGAGGCTTTTCTGAATTTTGGCTAGTCCAAATGTAAAACCTACTTTGCAAAAAAAAAGTGTACTGGTCCTTCTTTTCCCCTGTATATAGTTTTCCGCCAACCAATAAATGAATCAATGAAGTTTGTATGAACCCTTCCAAAACTTCTTTTATCTTCTTGCTAACCTACTAACAGAAATTTATGTCAGTTGAATAAAAGCGCTTATTACACGTTGGCACAGATGTATAGATTGTGATGGAAAATATTTGGAATAAATTTTCTTTATTTTATAAAAAATATTTAAAAAAGTTTTGACTCCCTTTTCAAAAACTGCATTATTTTTGCACTAGCCCAATAAATGAAAATAAATAATCTAAAAAGTTACAAAAAACAAAAGACGCTTTCTGGAATGTTGGGTAAAAATAATTGTTTTCGAGAAAAAACGATTCGGACTCGTTTTAAGCACCCTTTAAAGCTCTTAAGCATTTTCATTGCAATCTAAACGTAGACATTTTTGGCTGGATCTTTCGGGGGCAATTTCTTTCTCCCACATCCAATCTTTTGGATTTAAAAATTGGTAAAAATTGGTACTCCTCACCATTGTACCCAAATCCAACATTATTACGACCGTCGGAAAGTTTGAGTTCTCTCCTTTCAGCACATTTCAACAGTATTTAAATTTTATGTCATTATAAGTGGGAAAAATAAGAAATAAATAAATAAAACACCTCAAACTTGTTATATTATATCTCCGGTTTTATATTATTTACAGAAAGCCTGTTTGAGTAATTACGTGCAGTTTGTTGGGTACTATGACCATGTAAATTTCCTTTTGCATGAGAAAATACTACGCAGGATTGTCTTAGATGAGGAGAATAGATTATACAAAGTTACAAAAACTAAAAAACGCTTTCAATAAAATACAACAAAAATAACTGTTTTCGAAAAAAAAACCCGATTTAGAATCGTTTTAGGCAACGTTCAAAACCCTAGATACGAATTTTTATAGCAATCAAACAATAAGCAATTTTTGATTTGGCTGAGCATGGGACATTTTGTTCTGATGTGTTTCACTTAAAAATTCCTAAGTCCTTTGGATTTTATCCAAATTAAAGGTTATTACAACTTTTCAATTAATTAATCTTTTTATGTAAGGTTTTGGTTGAAATGGAAAAGTTAGTGTCACGAGCGGGATTCGAACCCACGACCTTCAGCTAAATACACCGCTGTCAGAGCGATGTCAAACCGCACATTTAACAATTATCGCGAGATTAAAAAATGAAATCATGAATATGCAATGTTCTTTTTGTGACGGGGAGGGGGGAGTAAATGAAAGATAAAACACGTACAACCTTCAATGGAGTATTTATATTTATCCCAAAAACGCATTTTTGTTGGCATCGTAATAACATATAGCTTTTAACCGACAAATTACCATTTTTCAATTCCAAATGGCCCTTTCTTTGAAGCATTAAAAAACTTAGGAGATGATATGAAATGTAAGGATGTAACATAAAATTCCTGCATTTTTAGGAGCATCCTACAGCTGGGCTATTTAAGCCCCGAGCGCATGCGAAATATAATAGAAAACATTCAATGCGCATTCACACAAATAAATACATTCACACCTATGTACATTACATTCATTCTATTTAGTAGATGGAGTATTCAATATTTCTCCATCAACCTGCATAAAATAACAAAATAATTTAATTGGGGTCGATGGGGTACTTTTAGAATTCGACCATCGGCCCAAGTTACGTACCCAGCTCGAGGGGCGATGGGGATGCTATTTCACCCCTTCCCATTCACTCTAACAAATACATTCATACAAAACACATATTTTGACAGCTATACACAATAAAAAAATTCCCAACACCCCTAAAAAGCAGAACAGGGGACCCTGAAACTCGCTACCGTGTCCGAGAACCATTCTTAAATCCGTGACATACCTACACGCTCTCTGTATGGAGTCTTGGCATGACACGCCTCTATTATGTGGGGCACACGAGCAATCTTTCTCTGCATAAGGTGCACCTGCGCCGGCTTTGACCCAAAAGCAGGTGCCCGTGTGTCAACCTCGTATGGCCAATCCTCAACCGGATGAACCTCGTATCACTTTCCTGGGAGGGGGGTAGCCCTAGGGTGTCATCATGTATATAATGTTAATGTGCTTGTGCCAGTGTAGATTTATGTGTGTGTTACGTATGTGGACGCAATTTACCCTCATGCCCGGAAGGAAAATTCACCCTTTTAATGTCAAATTAACCTTTTTTTAATTTCAAATAATTTTTTAATTTCAAAATTACCCTTTTTTAATTTCAAATTAAATTTTTTAAATTTCAAATTAACCTTTTTTAATTTCAAATTAACTACAAACTTTAACTACAAAATAACCTTTTTAATTTCAAATTAACCTTTTTTCAAATCAAATGTATTTTCTGTTACCCCAAATTAATCCTTTATAATTTTAAATTAATGGTTTTTTAACCTTATTTATTAACTTTTATCTTCTTTATATAATAAAAAAGCAAAATTCCTGTGTAGCGTTTTCATTCAAATTTACTTTTCCCCGACAAATTAACCCTTTTATACTTCTAAACTAACCCTTTCTTTTCGGCAAAAAAAATCTTAGATGATATGAAATATAGCATCTAAAGTAAAATTCCTGTACACGTGAGAGTTTATTTAAAAATAAAATAAATGAGCTCTTAAAATGTGATATGATAATTAAAATTAAGTTATGAATAATTAATAATTATTTCATAAAATTAGAAATTACATTTAAAAAAGGGGATCGGTGGCCTCTACGATGGCTTTTCGCCCCGTAAGAGGACCAGAACTCCGAGTTGCACGGCTCTCATTTGCTCGAGAACACAGCCATTGGCCTTTGGACGATTAGTCTGCTGTATTTTTTCAGATGAGTGTAGATTTGCTCTACCATCTCCAGATGGGCGTGAAAGAGTGTGGAGAAGGCGAAATGAAAGGTTTGTTGTTGTTCGTGGAGGGTCTTTGACGGCCAATCACTGGATCAAATTTTGGAAATTCATGCTTTGCCTATCCTCGATGAAATCAGCGACAATCCTATTCTAATGCACGATAATGCCCGTCCACATAGTACAAACGTACCTTCAACAGCATAACATCAGGGTTATATCCTGGCCAGCCTGTTCTCCCGACTTGACTCCCATCGAGCATTTATGGGATAACCTCAAAAGACGAATAAGATCACGTGGACGGAAAAGGACTCTTCGTGAAGAATGGGCTAACCTCCAGCAAAAAGTCATTTCCAAGTCTGGTAGAAAGTATGCCGAGGAGTCTTCGAGATGTTATTTAGCAAGAGGAGGAAATACGCGATATTGAATGAATTAAAAATCTAAAACAAAATTAAAACAATTTTATCTGTCTTTTTTTAATTTTAATTTTTTTTAAAACTTTTTTAGACAAAGTCTCAATTATTAAACGTTAAGAACGTGAAACATTGATTAATATATAAAAATATATACAAATCAAGTTATATTACTATAATACTAATACTTCACCAGCTAGGTCTGTCTGATAAGGACTCACCTCGGTTGTTGATGTCGGTGCTACCCCATACAACAAGGTGGCAATTTGCGTCACATCCCATGACTAGTTTCATGTTTTGTTCCCTGGAGTACCTCACGATGTCGTCCAGCAACTTGGGTATGCACGGTACTTCTCTTGGGAAATAGGCTGAGCAGATTAGCCATCTTGATTCTCCGCCCGCAGCCTTTGCTGTTAGGATAGCTGTAACAAAGTCGCCAGAACATAGTATTAATGTGCAGCTGATTCTTGTATTGAACACTATAAAAGACCAGGGTCTTGTTGATGACCTCTGCTATATTACCTGTGTTTGTTGGAGGTTTATTATTCTCACAATCCCATTATACAACCAAGGTTCTTGGATCAGGGTGACGCCCTCCCCCCGTCAAACCTCCTGCACAGTGTGCTCGATGCGGCCTTTGCATGCTGGAGGTTGACATGGAGTACTGTTATTCCTCCCTGTCCGTCTGACATTAGGCGGAAGTGGATGGCCCTGTGTGGATACCTTCCTCCATTCGATCTACCTGCTGTTGGCCTTGCATCTTCTTGAGCGGGCTTGTGTAATCCTTAGCCTCCTTTGCTGAGTCTGCTTCTTCGTCTGTGGTTGGAAGTGCGAGTTGAGCCTTTCGACTTTCGTCTTCTTCGCCCTTACCTTTTCGAGGAATCGAATTCTTCCCATTCCAAGGTGGAATGCATGTCCACTTTCTGGAGCTCCTGAAAGGAGTTGTTGTCCATGAAGAAAGTTTACACTTCTACTGCTGGATTTCTCCCCAGTGTATTTAGCTTCCGGTTTGAGGTCTTTAGCCTAGCCAAAATCCTCTCTGCCGCCAGTCTTCCGGTTTTGGGATCCAGTATGTAGGTAGTGCTGGAATTGGCTTGGGTAAGTCGTCCCCTGCCAAAGTCTCGGGACTGCGTCCTTCCACGGCTTCAGCGCTGGGACGGTCGCCCTTAGCCAGTCAGCACTAACCTGATCCTCATAGGTTATGACCATATATCCTGACCTGTGTGTGCATATGTTGAATTTCCAATCCAACGTCTGCGATTCTCCAGCCGATACTTTCTTATAGGCCAGCATGATGGCATCCTCGAGGGTCCCAAGCCTTTCGGGGGTCATCTGGTTTACTGGGTAGCCCTGTTCTACCACAGCTAATTATACAATACCCATTAATTTCACAATGTCTCATTCGAGCAATTACCATTTCGCTATAACATTTACTGCTTTTTTAATTGCTAAGGACGAAAAGTTGAACTCGCGGCGGATTCACGCTTCGTTCGGTTTTAACACCAGAGGGAAACAACACATGGAGAGATAGACGGGCGAAAATAGTTGAAACGGTACAAAGAGAATGTTTTCCCTAATTACCGGGCTAATAACAAGACGTTTTAATCTTTCGACTTTTAATTCACTACTTTAAACGGCCAAAAGGTACAACGTAATTACAATTAGTTACATTTCATTTGTTTTGTTCTTTCTTCGATAATTTGATTATGGAAGTTGGAACGTACAATTTAATGGGCCTACAGTTATGCTCAAAGTGTAAGCTTCGGTAAGTTTTCACCTATCTGTCCTTAAGTGTTCCGTTATTATATTACATTAAAGGCTCGATTTCGTAGCATGATATGACCGGTACGATAGTCTAGCAACTCTACCTTTTCAATAATTAACTTATCTCACGCACACGTTTTGTTGAAATTCAACAAACGTGACAACCGTTTTTTTTGTCAAATATCAACCAGTCGTGCTTTGTTCCTGATTCTTGTTGCGCAAGTAGCAATCTTACGTTATATTTCGAAACGTTTCAATAAACGTCCCGTCCTAGGTCTTGGTAAGCCTCCGGAATCAGCAGTCCTACTATCATTATAATCATGACAGTTCTAGGTCTTAGTAGGCCTCCGGATTCAACAGTCCTACTGTCATTATAGTCGTAACATGTTTTAGGTCTTAGTAGACCTCCGGAGTCAGCAGTCCTACTAACATTCTGGCCCTAGCACATGCTAGGTTTAAACGAACTTTGCTCGCCTCTGTCCTGGAGTAAAAATCAATTTAACTGAGGACTTATTGCATTATGTACTTTTTGGCAATTTGAAGCAAAAGGGTTCAGGGCCGATCGGTGTCCTCATTGATCCTTCCTTGGCCAATTAATCGGCCCCTCTGCCCTGTATGTCCTAGTACTCAAACAAGGGTAAGTTTTGTTAATGTTGCTAGTGTATAACAGGGCCTTGATGCAACCCCAAAGGCTTTGGACTTTACCGATCACTTGCTGGTAACTGGAATTACACGCAGTAATGGCTTTTAGTGCCTTCTGGCTGTCAGAGTAGGTGGCTATAAGCAACATGTCTTCAATATCCAGTCTCCTGCCAAACAGTGGCATATTGCATAGTCCTTGGTTTATTTCAATAGATATCAGCTTCTGACTCATATTCAGTGTTAGAGCTAATATACTAGATATAGTCGGCATTAACTGGATTTACCATTAGCTAAGGTTAAAACCCTTTCTTCCAATCTGCTTTATAGAATATTTCAAATAGCTCAGGAATAGTGTTGTACCATAGCCTTTTCCTAGTAATTGCAGGGCCGTTGTGGAAGATACGCATCTCTCTGTCTCTTTGTTTGCGTACTTTAATAACCGTATGAAGGTTTCGTTCATAACAAGGAGTATGGCACTCGATCCACTGTGCAGCAGATGTGTGGTGGTAACTAATGCCGCTTCTCTTGAGCGATGACAGCATCGTTTGGGTAGTTTTAGTCGTAGCTCACGTAGTTTTACTGAGAACATTACAAGGTATTTTTCAGTACTTATTATCTCACCAGTCCCCCAAACACAACGTGGGTTCAATTACCTACATTCGTAGGTAATTGAAGGAAGAGGAATCTGCCACGTTGTGGAACCAATTCATAGAGACCCTATGGGGACAAACAAGACCCGGTAGAAAGAATTGCAGCACTGACAATGATCTACTACTTTTTAAAAGAAGGATCGAGTGTATTGAACTGAAGTAAGGAACTAGGAAATGTACAATAAGCCCAAAGACTTTAGTGTTTGGGAATACCAAACCTCCGGTTCTTAATATCATGATCATCATCATCACAAGGAAGCATACAACGAATCTGTTTTACAATACACACTTTCTCTTTGACTGTGTTCACCACATTTGCCTGTCTTCTCACTCAAACCATCCGTTGTACCAACCTTTCGTTCATGACCTTGTATTCATACGTCAAAACCCTCTCGTCCAATATCTTTTCCCATCCTACCTGGAAATCTTTCACGTCGACTGATGGAGCAATGGCCTATGGATTTGCTTCAGTGATGTGCGTGGTTGTGAAACATGGTGGCTTTCTTCCGCCTCGAATCTCAAATGGATGACAGGTGTAAATATAAAAAAAATATTATAAGAGCCAGTTTTGTATGGTAGAAGAGTCTTGTCCAGCAAAGCCTCACCCAGGAAGATCCGATAAATATATATAAGACGTTTATATTTTAAATCAAAGTAAAATATGGCAAAAGAACTTTTAAAAATGTCGAAGTTGAAAGCTTTCTCTGTGAATGCATCTCCGTCTGTTTGCTTATAAATTGCATAGATGTCAAATAGAAATATTTCTCTCCCCTCTGACATTTTTTTAAAAGAACGGAAGTGTTGTAAAAATTTAAATATTTTCAATGGAAAGAGCAAGTGTTTAGGGAGAGTAGGATAAAATATGAATATAATTGAGTGCCCCCCCCCCCGTCCAACTGGCTGAATTCAGGTAACCTGAGTCATCTGGAGAACATACCGGTAAGGAAAATGGGTATAAACCCGATCTTACCTGCTCCGTCACTCCTCCTTCAATAGAACAATTTTTCTTCTAATAATGTTAAAACTCCTCAGCGGGGCATTTTATACTAAACTGTTTATAATTGTCCATTTTTGGGGTGTTTTTGTATCCCCCCTCCCCAATTTTTGTATCTACTTACCTGATGACAATGAAATCATCATTATTTCGATTTATTGTTGAATTTTGTGTATTACATTGTGGGATGACGTTGAAATTTATTCAAGCCGGATTCCTTTTATCAGACATTTGGCACAATCATTTAACTCGTTATGCATAAGAGAGATAACTGGCCGTTTCAATCGTTGACTCATCAAAATGTGAGTTAATTATTTATTTACGAAAATCTAGTTCGGAAAATCTATGAAAAACTGCTATGTGCAATGTTCAATGAGCAAACGGTTAAATTGCGCTTACTCATCATCCAAAAACTCTGGTCATTTAACACATCGAACTGGTTGAAATGCCCAGCTCAGCACGTAGGTCGACCAACTGCACGACTCAGGAATTGCAAAGCATGAACTATTTACTACATAGTCTACTACATACTAAGTGTCTTACATAATAACTACTAGATGAAACTACAGACATGGGATCACGGATTTAAATGTGTTTTTTTTCAATACTAGGTCAAAAAATATTTGACACGTGCCCTAGCGTGTTCGTGCCAATGGGCTCTAGACTACAAAGCCGAGAAAAGTTAGGTTAATTTTTTTAGCAAGAAATAAAGTCGACATTTGTCTTTCTTATCTCTAAAACCCCTGAATACATTGAGGAAAATAAAAAAAATCTTTTTTCCAAAAAACCGGACATCGATGAAAAAAATCCCAACCGAAGCGCCAGCCAAAAAATATCTAATTTTAGATTGCTGTGAAAATTCGTATTTAAAAGAGTGCTCAAAACGAAACTGAATCGTCCTTCTCGAAAATAATTTCTTTTGTCCTACTTTACTAAAGTTCTTTTGGTTTATGTAACTTTTTATATATCTATTCTCATTTAATAAGATCCGGCATAGTATTTTTTTTCCTATCTTTAAGACAAAATTTTTATAAAATCCCTGACCCCATGTCTGTAGCCTCCTTTTAACCTAAAATTCGTACATTTATAACTTAAGACAAATACTTACAATGTTTACACAATTTTACACTCGGTCTTTTACCTATCATAAAGCTGACATTAGTGTCAAATATAGATTAAATATTATAGTTTTTAAGAGACATTTTGTTTAGAATTTTCAAATATTTAAATATTTGACCCGCTCGGTCTGGCTTCATCAACCCTAGAGTGGTTTTTGAGTATTCTGTGACAATTCCTATCAATAATTCAAAGGAAATTCATATTATCTTTATTAAGTGTTTGAAGATAAATAGGAACTAAATAACCTTAAATTCAAAATGAACTGTCTGAAAAGCATTCTCACTGTTAAATTACAGCAGTTGTGGTTCAATTACAGCCAGTGCTGCATGTCCGAGAAAGTTTCTGCTTGCACAGACACAACACAAAGAGGCCGTCTATTCTAAACCTTAATATGTTCTAGATTAATAAAAGGGACTGGGTTTTCAATAATTCGGTTGATCAGAACAGAAAGGAAACGGTCCTTCACAAACCAATAAACGTTTTGGCCTAGAAGGTGGATGCCACTTGTCTGATTCCACCAAAATTTTCATTCAATCTAGTTTAGAACAGAAATTATCAACCATTTGTCGAATTCCAAAATTTTATTGTACAATTAATGTTTTATTCAAATCATCAAAACTGACTTTTGATTGATATAATTCTGACAATAAGTCGAGACACCAAACATTTAATAATTGTGCCAAGTCGACAATAAGGAGAATATTGTTTTGGAAATGCCATATATACATCAAGACCTCCCAACCGAGCATTAGAATTTAAAAAAAAAATAATTTGGCCAAATTTCGTCAATTTCTATTAATTGATTACCAAGATGAAAAAAAGTTTTAGAAGGGACCACAAAAGGTTCATTGACTCATTCATTGATACGGGGGAAATTATATTTATGGGAAAAGATCCTCTCTTATTTATTAATAATTTCTAAAAAGGTGAAGTTACAGACAAGGATTCACGGATTTAAATGGAAATGTTTTTTGGGTCAATACTAGGTCGAAAAATATTAGACACGTGTCCCAGCGTTCGTGCCAATGGGCTCTAGTATGTAAAGAAAAGTATGTTACAATATTTTTTTAGCAAGAAACAAAGTCGATATTTGGTTTTTGCACCCATAAATATCCCTGAATACAAATTTTTTAACAATTGGGGGGATGAGATGGACTAAGTAATCACTTCTATAAATTTAGATTAAAATTCGCAGGCCTTGGGAAAAAATTGAAACAAAATATGCAAAAATATATGAAGACACAAATGTACATTTGTGCCAAATTTTTATAGAATTTGACAAAAGGGATGTTTTCAAAATATTTTGTTTTGGAAAAGCCTTTTTCAAATCTTTATCGTATGGTTATTCACCTCAATACCAATTTGTTGGTGAAATTTTGAAGAAAAAATATACAGACTCAAAGGTTTTAATACCTGGTGCATCAAATTTTTTTGATCAGGTAATTAAGGCAGTTTTTTTAAAGGCGTCCCTCACAAAATCGATTTACATTTACGCCCTGGAGCAGAATCCTGGATAAATTCCTTTTCTATTATAAATAATGATTTTAATAGGTTCAAACCCGTGCGGCAAATTAAGTGAAATTGTGCTGATTATTGGGCGAATTTGTGATTAAAAATGCTTTTTTTCCCAAATGGTGATGGGACGGACCCTGCCCGATACATCAAATTCGCAGGAGTGGATGGCCTGCTAAATATAGTATGTATTTCAATAATTCAATAATAAAGATTTGAATATTGATCAAGGTTTGCTATTTTGAGCAGATTTCTCATGGAATTATTAGAAGAAAACCGCACAAAATTTTGTTTCAAATTTCTGATTTTTTAAGCTCCTCTGAAAACAAATTTCAACTCAGTTTTCAGGGTATGTGAAGGCGCATGGGTTCAATATTTGCTCTTCAGATCAGTCAGCTATATTTAAGGAAACATTGTTTTAGAAGCGTCCAGCATAAACCCAGGTTTCCTTCCTGCCGATTTTGACAGATTTCCAGCAATTCTACACTCAAAGATTCAAGCATTAACCCACGCTTTAAATTTGTTTATTTTATTTATTTATTTATTTATTTTATTTTAACGAGGGTTCGCAACAGCAGAGGTCATATAAACCCTCAGGGTGCCGGTGTTTTTGAAAAAAAGCCCATTTGTAAGTACGTCTGGTTCGAATACAGGGCCGCTAGATTCGAACCCGGGACCTTCACCTTACAGTAATGAGCGCCGTGTCAACGCCTAAACCGTTGCGGACACCCACTCCCCCGATTTATTTATTAATTAGTGTGATAATACAATAATGTTATATTATCCTCCCCCCCCCAAAAAAAAACAACCCTTCACATCCTGCAGATTACTTTTAAAAAGTAATAACTGTGTTTTGAGACATAAATGTTCAACAATTTAATCAAGTTACAAAGTAGGATAACGTCAAATTGAAGTGTGCACTCAGAAAGAAATACTCGTTTCACGCCTTGGGGAGAGGAATGACTCGAAATCGGTTTTGAAAAAACAAAGAACAAACGACAAAGCATTGATGATCTAGGTTCAAAAGTTCAATGATTCTGTCAACATTCATTAAATTCCGTTGTTCAGTTTAGA